ATAACTGATATGCTAGATATGCGTCCGATATGCTGGATAAGCATAAGGTGACAAATATGCGGTCGCATATAATATGCCGCATATGCATAGTGCTTATTTCCGGCCACCCTAGTCAAACCGTTTTGGATCGGCAGATAATAAATTGATTCCGCGTTATTCCAATGTCCACCGTGAATAATGTAAAAAAATTAACAAAACGTGAACGAAAAACCATCGCCTTTCGTAAAAATAAAAAGCAAAAACAAGACCCGAAATCAATTGAAAGTGATAAAAATGAAAAGATTGAAGAGGCAATTGGAGAAAATATAAGTGACAAAGAGGGCGAGAAGTTGGCTAAAATTAGTTTATTTAGAGGAAAACTCGTGAAAGAGAAGAAAAAACCGATCATAGAAAAGGTAGAAGAAAATGATGAAGAAAAAGGGATAGATGATTGCAATTGCAATTTAACGACAAAAGATTCAGACAATGAAAAATTTGCGAAAAAAAGAACTGATAAACATAATGCTCGATTTATCGTTTTCGTTGGCAAGTTCATTATATTAAATTAAATCTCAATAAGATAGCATTTATTTAATTTTAATATTCCTTTTTTTTTTTTTTTTTTGAAGCCAATTTACCATATGACACGAAAAAAGAAGAGCTATTAAAACATTTTGAGTCGGCCGGTAGTTTATTCAAAGACGATTTGATTCTCATAATTATTCCTTCGCAAACTGATTCACACCACTTTTCTGAATTGTAATTTTTGGGATTATTAGGTACACCTATATCAGTTAGACTAATTACCGATAAAAATTCGAAGAAACCAAAAGGTTTCGCGTTTGTCGAATTTGATACTTCACAAGCAATGAAGAGAGCATTAAGATTTCATCACTCAATACTCAAAAATAAACAGGTAATTAATTTTATTATGAAATTGAATATGAAGCACAACTTTAACATACATTTTTGTAGATAAGAGTCGAATTGACTGCTGGAGGTGGTGGCAATAAAAGTGTAGCACGTCGTAAAAAGCTCGAAGAAAAAAAAAAGAAATTGAGTGAAGAGAGAGTACGTCATCATTTTGTTCCAATCCACTTCCACATTGTGCATATGACGGCTTATTAATTTTAAATATCATATCTTTTTAACAGCGTAGAATTCACGAGACCTATATTGCGCCCACGAAATCCAAATCTTCGAACGAGGATGGTAAAACTTCTGATACGAAGCTGAGTGAAAAGATTGATGGAAATTTGGGTAAACTTGTGATGGTTAAAAAACCGAGGCGATTGAAGGGTTCCAACGCTGTTAAGCCAAATAAAATTAGAAATTTCGGTGGTTGAGATTATAAAAACAGATTGGCCGTCAAATTTAAGTTTCACTCTCCAAGACGAAAATTACATGCTGATAAAATGAATAGGATTTTACTTTTTTTATGAAAAACAATAAAATTCTATATTATATTAAATTAACATCACGTAGTTTAGCAGTAGTGAATGATAAAAGTGCCTCAGGATCCTAGCCCATGAGATTTAAAATATTAACATTCCCATTAACTCCGGTTAAAAATCACCCCATATCTAATCCCACCGTCCCATAATAACTAGAAATTAAAAGGTATGTATAATCTATAAGGTGATATATGTATTAAATTTTATGAACAAAGTAGGATTCCTGAGATTTCTCCTAAAGTCAGTTACGAAACCCGGATTTAAATAATCCCAAGTTTTTTCATTTTAGTTAAGAAATTGGACATATAATTCTCGGCATAAGAAGAGAAATAATACTAAAAAAAAAGAAAAAAGAAAAATTAGTAATACAAGCCAATTTAGTGAAAAGTCGATAAATTACTCACTTCATGTTCTGAATTATGCGGTGCAATAAAATTGTGTGCCAGCTCGTGGCAAATTGTCATATACCAATAGGTGAAAGTTTCACTGGATGTGACATCACTAGTCTCTTCGTTGTGCAGTCCGAGATAAAACCTAAAATTAAAGAACAAGGCTCTATCGCGATTGAAAGCTATCGAATTTGAGTTATCATCATAAAAAATGTGGACCGCCTTTGTTTGAAGTTCAAAAACTTCACAAAGTTCTCGGAGAATAATAGCAAATCGATTCAAGGCTTTTGATCTCGTTCCACCAGTAATTTCGGATGGATTCAAGCCTTTAGCGACATAGAGTTCAATTCCGTTATTTACGCCAATACAGATAAGCGAGTGACCTACGAGGAATAAAAAGCATGTGTTTATGTCATTCTTGTTTTACCCTTTTGGTCAAAAATATTTATATTACCTGGCAGAACGTCACAATAACTTATTTGACTTTCGGTAACATGATTCACAGTTGCCCGACTATCGATGGCACTTCCCGAATTCGAACGACACATCTTGACTGCCCTACGAAGCACGTCCTGCAGATTTTTGGTGGTTCCCGGATTGACGTCAATTGGCTTGGTAACGGGCGACGATTCGCCGACATTAGATTTTGATTCAACAGTCTGTTGAGATCTAATCGGAGCTTGAACATTAGCACCAGCCGTTGAAGTGACATAAGATTTTACTTTGTCAAATATGCCCCATCCATTGTTTTTTAGTCCATCGCTGCCATAATTGTTAGGATTGTAAGGAGATTTCGAAATTTTAGGGTAGTCCATATCCGCCAAGTTGTTGGCAACTTTATTCAAATCGAATTTCTCTTGGGCAAGAATTCGACGGATAAACGCGGGATCACAGTCTGGATACGTTTCTTGTATTTGTTTAACGTACTGTTCAATTTCCGACGACGAACCTGGAGAATTGATTTTTCCCGCCGATCTCGGTGACTTCGGTGATTCATACTTATCAGCGATGCGAACTGGTGTTTTGTGACTTGCCAATATACGATCAACAGGATACCCTTTACGTTTCAAGCTCGTTAGGGGAGTTGTCAAAAGCATGGCCAAATGTGAGATGTCTTTCCATTTTGACTTTATAAATATGTTTTGCCCTAAGTGTGAAGCAATGTCGAGATAATCAGGATCCCCAGGTGTAACATACAAAATCCAAGATTTACTTCGAGTATCTTCCACTATGCAAGAAGATATCTGTTCAATTTTAGTTTCGTTGGTGGTGACAAGCACGTATGTGGCATCTATTCGTTCGATCTCCATGACTTTTAATTCCCGAACCCATTGAACCGGTCTTTTGATGTCCGATCTGTGAATATCGTGATAGAATAGTTGTGCTCGCTGGTTAATCATTTTTTTCAAGTCAACGGCTTGTCTTGAGGTCGTAATTTGGCCTTTTGGTTGAATACTCTCTCTAACGCACGAATAGAGCGACCGACTTCCTAATTCCTATCGTGGATAATGGGTTACCACTATAGGACATTATAAATTAAATAGGGCTCATAGTAACTTACTTGATAAAATTTTTCCAAAGTTTGCTCCATGGGTGCAGTTAAAGGGGAGAAAACTTGTTGATAATTTGTATTATCGTTTATATATATGTCTTTTGCGGAGGCCAAAACATAGTGATCAATTTCTTGCAGGGAATTATCAGCAAGTTCCTTGTCACTTTCTTTCCTCTTCACGCCCAACAATATTGGGGCCCGACCCATTTCGTAGAATAAATTCTTATTCTTGAATATGGAATTGGAATTAAAAGCAATATTACGAAGAATCGAAAGGTATTTTTCGACATTATCACCGATAGTATTCCAAAACTCTCGTGAAGATCTCACAAGGAATTCCGCAAACTCTGTAGGGGATGGCTCGGTCTTGACGCCACAGCTTAACAAAAATCTATTTGCCTTCTCGCCAAAGTCGACATATGAAAAATATTCGCTGAAACTGAGGGGTACAATGGAAGCAAAGGTATATTAACTTAATAAATCCATAAAATTTACATTTAAAACAAACACACCTCTCTTCTGAGCTCTTGAAAAAGCAGTTGCGTGGGCTGACATAAGAAATTTTATTAGGTTGATTTTTGTTTCGGATTGGAATGAATTTAAGATTTCCAAGACTATCCCAGTCGTAACTGTTGAAATTAGCTAGCTGCGATGACAAGTAACCGAAAACCTCACGAGCCTCGGTCTCGCTCTCCAGAGGATGCTGAATGAGTCTATCTAAAAGTTGCTCGCGGGATGGATGTTGACGAACGCCCAACTCTTCGGCACGGAAACGTAAATCATGATGTAAAGCATGAAACTTCATGATTGTACAATCAGGATTCGAAAAACATCCCAAGGGTGTTTCGAAAACATTTGGGTCGGTACATTGTAGAAATGGAATCTTAATCTCACGAGCGTTGTACTTCGAGGAATACTTATCTTTGAAATTGTTGATGAAATATTTCAAAGCTTCCTTCCTAATATTAGGCTCCGAATTCGGCGAAGCAAGCTGAAGAATGATCGTTAGCGGTGGGTACTCTTGAAGGCCCAACGAAAGCAAGAATTTTGCTAAATTGAAAAATAATCAAGCGAATTAATTTCTTAATTCATAACCATAACACTCCTTAACACACCTTCTTCAGAATTCCTGTGCCATTTTCCATTCCACTCGATAATGGGCAGCCCAAATTTTCTCATTTCTTGCGATGGTATATACAATTCACTTGCCGTAAATCTAGAGACCTTTGGTTTAACTTCGTCCTTCGTTACTTGCGTCTCTACACCTTGTTCTTTCGGCCAAATCGCCGTAAGCTTCAACCTTTTCATCTCTATTTCTTTAAGACTACTTGACACCGAAGATAAATATTTCACAAGCTGCATATGATCCCAGTTTCCTTGACTGACCAGACGGTCGAAAACGAGTTGCAAGTCGACATGCTTGAAATATGAAGTCAAGTTCATCAGAAATGAAGCATATACAGTAATTTCTTCATAAATTCTAAAAACCTACTTTCCGAACTCCAAGTGATTGTAATAATTTCTCGGGTGTTTTCATATTCTTAAAATAAACAATAGGCAAATCTGGAAAAAGGTTTACACTAGGAAAATAAGCCTCGTCAGGTATCTTCATCCCATGCTTAGTTGGAATACATTTCTTCCTCGAGAGTAATTCTTTTATTAATTCTTGATCTTTATTCGAACATTTTCCAAAACTTCGAGCAATGATCCCTAGAACTTTCTCCGCGACATCAGGGTCAGTCTCTAACTGAGGATTTGACACTATAAATTGAGACCAAGTGACAAGTGAGAGTTCTTTCCATTCTCTTAATGAAATAGTGAAATAAAAAGACGTGAGTGAGAAGAATAGAATAATGCTAAAGAGAAAAGAAACTCACCCAAACCATTTTTCAAGATCAGCTTTCTGAAAATTTCTGCTGATTGAATATTGCAACACATCGGACGGGACATCATTCTCTGGTGCAATTACAGATGGATTCAAAAAATATCGAACTTTGTTTAGCGGTAATATTTCGTCATCTTTTACCCTAATGACGGTCGAGCGCAAGAGCTGATGCAGTTCATTTTCCGAAGATTTTTCCTTTTTTCTATAAGAAATCCACCACTTCATCAATGCCACGGTTTCCTCTTTGGTCAGTGCACGACTCTGTAATTCTACAAAGACATCATTGATTTTAATGTCTTTAATTAATCCCATAGTATCTCTAGTCTTTTTAATAAAGGCATCACATTGTTCCATGAGAATTTTTGGGATAACTGGTACTGATTTAATAAAAGCCTCCATTTCCGGATTTGGTAATCGTATCAAGTCGGCTGGTTGCACCCCACGGGTTGATAGAATGGAAATAGGTTTTGTGGAGCACTTATAAAATTGTAACTCAGCAATCCTCCCTACATACGCGTTCGGAGTACTAGGTTTGAATGTAAAATGCGCAAGTGCATGCGCAGCTTTTCTTTCAAAATATTCGCGACCGGATTTTATTGCTTCGTCTTTAGAATCTATTGGTGATGATCCTACAATTTCATTGTACAGCTTAGATATTTGTGCCATTTCGTCTTCATATAAAATACGACACAAAATTCCAACAAGGCATAACATCTCATTATTGTAGACCGCAAGAGTCTTGTCTACTAGATCGATAGATTCACGCTCAACCTAGTATAGATAAATGTGATGAGGCGATTTAGCAAGACGCACAATTTTAGATGAAGGTTAATAGTAACAAAGATAAATTTTACCGTTGGTATTAGGCGGGCTGATAAATGAGAACTACAGCCGGTAGTTTGATGTGTTGGAAATCCGATAAAAATTCGACCTTGCTCGGGATAAGGTAGTAAATTTTTAAAAATATCTGAAACCTTTTCATTTCGATCGGAAGAATAGGAATGTTCGTCATAACCGGAAAATATTATATGAATAGAGGTCGTGCTTGGTGGCTTTTTCTTTGTCGATCTCTCCATTTCATTCGAAAAAGCTTTCGTTACTCGAACGTCTAAATGACCACTAGCAACTCTCAGATACATTGATGCTTCCTCTTTCGGATATTCGGACAATCCCATTTTTGATCTCGTGTTCTTTTTTGGTATTAGTAACCTTACAACATCCAATTGTACCTGTCGAACATCAACGGATCTAAGGGAAAACATCTTCTGTGGCGAGGTCGTACTTAGACCAGAAATAATATTCATAGGCCGCGGATCAGACATTTTCTTTGTGAGGTGTATTATACGTTTATCATTGAAAAACACCGATATCTCACGTAGGTTTCCCGTAAATCCCTATCAGTAAAGAAATGAATATTATTATTATAAGCTGTGATTGCCAAATAAAAAGAAATATAAATTACCAATGAGGTTGCCAAAAATCGACCAAAATCTTCAGCGTTCGGGAACTAACATTTTTTTTTTAAAAAAAAAAGAAAAAAAAGAAAATATTAAATACTATTTAATAAAATTCACTAGAATATTCAAATGCATGCCTCTGAATGATCTCGCATATCCATGAGGAAAGTGGTCCACGTGTGATCCGTTTGGTTGACTACAGCACGTTTAGCAAACAGTTGGTCTCCCTTCCAATAAAAAGCCATTCCTTGACCTCCTGAAGAGACGCTAAACAAAGAATGCGATTAGCAAGGAATTTCAAATCCAAATTTGATCCAATAGTTGCAAATAATATACTTACAATGGCTCTTCGCATACTGAAAACAACGAATAGAACCCAACCCCAAAAGCTCCGATCTATAAAAATCTCTGCAAGGTTAGAAACAATTCTAATAAAAGTATATAACAGATCTGGTAAACGTTCATACCTTTTGCTCGTCAGGATTTCCTTCCGCAATTTTCTTCAATCGATTCCAATCCTCCGGTCGAAATTCGAAACCATTATTCTTAAACAGTATCCGCACACACTTATCTTTCAATATGTTTATTTCTGTGGCATTACTGCTTTTTTGAGTTTCAAAAATTATTTGTACGCTAGTAGACTTTGCATCATCTTTAAAGTAATTACATTGATAAGCTTTTATGTCGTGACTATATAAAGTAAAATATTAAATAAACAAACCTGCATTTTGCATCAGTTCCCTGAATACTACAAATTCGGCTGAGTATCTGTAAAGAGATAATTGAATAAATAGTAGAAGCTAGTTATTCAAAAAACTATTAAACAAACCTTGCCAAAATTTTGTCAATCAGATGTCTTTGATTGACTTCGACTCTTTCCTCGCCGTCAGTATTTGATAAAACTTGTCTCCTTAGTTCATCCATACTCTCAGAGAACGCAAAAATGTACGTCTATACAAAGCCGATTTAATCCCTATGTTCGACTACTCTACGTATTTATATTATTCGATGCCAACAGATCCGTCGCACAAACCCGAAAGTTGTTGACTACGTCATCGAGATACGTTTCGATGTTCACAAATTTGCAGTGGTTCCTGAACGAGCTAGATAAATTCGAAAATAGTTTTCATCTATTCATGTCCTATCCATTCAAGTTGCATTCGTTTCCAAATATAATTTACAAAGAAATAGCTACAGTATGCTAACTATTATGTGGTGATTAAATATCCGAACTTGGAATTGAGCTCACATGCAACGTGAGAAACTTATGTAACAAACATAAACCATCCGGTACACTGGACCCTCGGGGTCACGAGCCCCGAGAATGATATGCGGTACTGGCCGCAACAAATATTGCCAAGTTCATAACAAATACGCATTTCACATTTATTGCTGTATAGATTCTTTATCAAAATAAAGACATGAGAGTGTTCTCCGTGAGCCACTTGTGCAGGCTAATCTGCATTATACAGTGGTTCCTCATGATCTAGAAATTTCAGTCGAATATAATGCTGAGCACTTTATTTTTGATAAAAAATCTTCGTCAGGAATATTTAGAATTTTAATGCATTCTTTTTTATTGAAATGTTATAGATTTTTACAACTGCAATGAAGATAATTTATCTTTGGATAGGGATTTCAAAATTATTGCAATTAGTATTATATAGATATTATCTATACAAAAAAAAAATAGATAAACGCAAATAAAATCATTATAGAATCAAGAATTGTTATATGATTCAGTAGAACAAAGAAAAAATTAAAGTTTATACTAGTTAAAATTGTATTATTTGACGGCCAAATTATTATTCAATTGCTGCTGTTGATATATAAAATATCAGTAATATTTCTGCAAAATCAAATTTAGCAATAAATTGAATGAAATTTAAAGTATTTTTGTATTATTATTTTTTTTTTTTTAACATGCTAGCTCATTCCTGCACCAGCATCGGAACCTTTATTAATTATTAAGATAGATCCTAGGAACAACCGGAATGAGTAATTACCCATACTGTCTAAGGATTTACAGATCAACGAATAATACAAGGGGCATCTATTTACATCTCACCCAACCAGGATAGGGAAACTATGTGACCATCTAATGTAAAATTTTTTCTTAATTCTTAACAAAATCAGAGAGACTGGGGGTGTTTAACCTATCAATTTGATGGGATACCTTCCAGTTTAAACTTGTGTTTATTAAACCTCATCCAATCGAAGCAACACTTCCTAGAACTGTAGTCCATCAGATGACTTATTGCTATCCCTGTATAGGAAAGCTAATATGTCAAGAACTTACCTAAGATACCCAGTACCACCGGTGTTGGAGGTCTTTTATACAAGATCTTTATGACTCCTGTTAGTGCGTAGATTTTTTCTAGGGATCTGTCTTGGTTTTATTATTACTTGTCCTTTATAGCAACCCATCTTTGCCTTTTTTGAGGAACCTGTCTTGTATTTTCTTTAAATGCTAAAATGCCTTACTGCCCAACTTTGTCACTCAAATAGGTGATCAGTCTTGATTAAGGTATTATGCCACTTAGCCTTGTTTTGTTTGAAACCTATTGTGATAATCAGCTAGTGTTAAGGATCGCAACGGATCAAATTGGATCGGATCAGTTTTTGTTTGGTCCAATTTGTATCTGAATGGATTTATTTTTATTTGATCTATATCTATTTAGTTAATTTGATATTTTTTTAATCGTGGTTTTTTTTTTTTTTTTTTTTTTTTTTCCTAGTTATTGTTCTATGCCATCATTAAGTTTTATTTATAAACATTTATTTAAAAGTTTATATTTTTAATATTTACAATTATTTTCTTCTAAATTAAAATATATACTTGTATAATTTAAATTTTCTACAGTACTACTACTGCCTTGATTTTTTTTTATCGATTTTTCCAGTACTAGCAAAGTAGGGGAATCCTGTTGCAATTGCTCTTGTCGATACTTTATATATTTTTCTTTTCCAGTTCCTTCTTTCCATTTTTTAATCGTTGTCATTGTTTTTTTTACCAGGTTTTGTGATAAACCCCTAGTTATACCTTCCTTCGGTAAAACAGTTGTGTCATGTAACCCTTGTTCTGACTAGCAAAAAAGTGTGTTGCCTTATATAAAAATTTAAATAAAAACTTAGTATTTTATATTTCAAGCTTTTTTATTGTTTTTATAAAAATACTTATCATCTCTACTTTTATTCACCATTTAGGCATGTAGAAGTTGCCTCCATCGAAATCCCCTTCTCAGTAAGTAAATTTTGGATCACTTTTGAAGCAAATTCCTCTCAGATAGCTGGCTGCAATTGTATGGTTCAGGAAATTTATATCAGTATTGACAAATTTGTTGTACCTTCAGGATGCATATACTTCATAGAGACCCAAGGAATGGTTAAGTTTGATTTTCTTCTTGTTATAAAAAACTGAGATACCTTTTTTAATTGCTTCATATTTGTTTTCATCTAATCTTGGAAGTTCATGCTTAACAATTTTTTTCTGTATATTTGAAGTCACATTGATAGGAAAAATATCCATTGCATAATTAAACAGGAGGATATTCATC